AACCCCATGAACTTCACTTCTTGAACTTTCTTACACTCATACAACACTACACATTGGGCACCTCAACGTGGTGTAATGGTTAGAAAGTTTGTCTTGCAAGAACAATTACAACTGAGTAGTGAGTTCGATCCTCACTGGGTGCCCCATACTTTCAGCCTTGTGCCACATCTAAGCCAGGCTTAGAAAATCACTACAACACCACATATTAACCCACTACCTCAGGTGGCTGAATATTATACACACATACATATATATATATATATATATATATATATATATATATATATAAAAAGAGACAACCCTTTGGTTAATCTTAAGCTTGTCTGTCTCTTAATTATTTAATTAATATTTGCTCTGTTGTTACATTGAGGTCTCTAGATTACATCTTCTTTGGAATTATTCACATGGATTACCAAACCCTTCATTACCTAACTATATATATATATATATATATATATATATGTGTGTGTATATATATATATATATATATATATATATATATATATATAATGTGTGGGTGGTACAATGGATCGTAGCTCAGAACAAGAAATAATAGAGCCAAATTTGTATTCAATTCAAGTTCATTACATTCATTTATGTACAAATACCCTTGGGAAAGGTATGAATCCATCTCTTCTATTCCCAAGCTATGGGTTAAATAGTGGGACTTGCATCTAGAAAAATAATTGTCATCTTCAAAAAATTGTTAATGCAATATTCAATCACAAAAAAAGAAATTATTCTGCCAATCCAAAATAGGTTTCAGTTATATCCACACATATATATATATATATATATATATATATATATATATATATATATATATAAATACACTAGTGTCATTTAATCATCACAATATTTATATGAAAAAAAAAATCTACATACATACATACATACATATATATGTATATATATATATATATATATATATATTATAAATTTACTAATTTAAAAATATGGTTCCATCACTACACAGGAATTGCCATGTTTCAAAAACAGAAACTAAAATTCAAATTATAGAATTAAATTAAAATCCCTAGTACTGTTTCATTTTCAAGCAAATTTTGAAATAACATATTTTGAAATTTACTGAGTTTTACAAGCACATACATTCTTAATATTAGTTGCTAAGGATACGGAGAGATTTAATCATTTTGACAAGGGGTGGTAGGGTATTCATTTTCATTGACAACTATTGTATCAAAATATGAGTTACTTTTGAAATGATGTTAAGGTAGGGTAGGGGTGTCTATTCAACAAATGATGGCATCCATTTTTCACGTGTAGTCTGGTTTTTCCATGACAAAAAGTTTTTTGACACTTTTGTTTTGCCGTTAAATTTGTGATTTTATCCATAAAGATTTTTTCCAAAAGGTTTGTTTGAATATGAGTAACGTTATATTATAATGTATTTTAATACAGCGTACTCATATTCAAACAACCCTTTTGGAAAAAAAATCTTTATGGATAAAATCACAATTTTTTCTTTTTATATGTATAAACTGTTTAAATGTTCTTTCTTTCCAAGCACTGGTCTCATTTAAATACTCATTGAGACTTACTGGACCCTATTCATAACATACTTGTTGACAACACAAATATAATAGCATCATCCACATGCAAAAAAAAGGCTAAAAATAACGGAAGCCTTATTAATAAAACCAAAAAAAACAGCACTTAATAATATCAACTATGAACATGGACACAATATCTTGACCATGTTTTGAAACTGAAAACATTATATAAATACATACATACAACAAACTATTTCTTGTTAACAGTTAATATGTTTCATCCTTGAAAATGGCTAAATGTATAGCTGGAAGCACTCAGATAAAAAGAACAATTGGACAGTTTTTATATAATTTATCCTCCCAAAAGAAAAAATTATAAGATCACATGAGAAATTGTATGAAAAACTTAGTCAAAGCACCTTGTTTATTATATTCAATGAAACATGCATGAAAGAAGGACTGCTGCCTAAATAAACACACACACACACACACACATATATATATATATATATATATATATATATATATATATATAAGCAAATATATGGATATAGATCCGACAGTATGAAGAAAAATATACTGAAAAAACAAACAAAAATCCTAATATGAGATTATGCTGTTTTAATGTTTAATGTCAGCGTCGGACGTTTCGGTCTAATAGACCATATTCAGGGCATATTCATAAAACATAATTAACATAGACCATATACAATTCAACATGAAAAAGACGATGGACATAAAAGCAATACCAATCCAAACAGATAACTAAAATCTTTTATAAGATCAGCGCTCCGTTTAAATATGATCACGTCGTCGTCATGTGGCCGATGTTGTGAAAACGTATTCCTAAAACTTGAGTGTTTTGAATGAAAAACGAAAAGAATTTTATTTTGATCGAAAACTTATATGTACGTTTGTAAAATTATTAATTTCTCTTTTAAGAATAGTAATTGTTGGTTATTGGAATTCATTCCATATACACCAAT